TTATTCATTCTCCTTTACTGAGCCACTCTTGACTGTGAGGTTTGCTGGTACAAAAAGTATATGCACCTACTTCTTGCTGGAGGTATAAGTGTTCATTTGATCGAATTTGGATGGTGTGGCTCTCTCCCATGTTGTGGTAGTTATTTTTACCCATTTATTTTTTTTTTTGTCTGATCTGTTATTTGGAGCTTGATGCTTGCAGACTAATACCCTCTTGCCATGAATTTTGGGCCTGCCAGTATTTACCCTCTGGTTGTAGTTTGGGTTTTTTCTTCCCTGGAAGATTTTGCCCTGTCTGCCTCAAATGAAACATTTCCCGCCACCCTCAGAGCCTTTCTCCGAATTGTGTAGCAGCGTCTGAGACACTGCATCTGTGAAGTGGCCTTTGTTGGTGGTGGTCCCAGTGGAGACAGGCAGAGCTGAAAATAGCAAAAGAGGGACCAAGGGGTTATTAGAATCTTGGTTTTAAAATAGGGTGTAGACATTGAGTTTATAACAGGAAATGGAAAGGGAACTGGCATCACCAGGATTGCTGGTAGAGTGGATGTGCGTGAGTGAGGGAGAAAGGTGAAGCTCCATTTTCTCAGCATACATGAGGGTGGACTCACTCAGCATACAGTAGGGGCTGACTGAGTCATCCTTTGGTCCTCAGAAGACTATGTGCCAGAAAGCAGTTGTTCCCCATGCCAAGATATCAAGTGAGTTAAGTGGAAGACAAGGAGTTGAGGATGTAATTAGTTAACTAAAAGAAATATTTCAATTATCAATGACTGAAAGGGGACTCTGGTTTATTTCTGAGTCAGGTGTGGCCCCCAAAGCTCCCCCAACATTGTTATTTTGTTTCTGAAATATATGTTGGAGGTAGCTAGCATCTGGAGCAATCCTTTTAGGATTGTCGCTTTGCCTCCATGGATTATGCTGCACTAATTGTAGACAGGAAACCCTGGTGGCACAGTGGTTAAGAACTACAGCTGCTAACCAAAAAGGTCAGCAGTTCGAATCCACCAGGCGTTCCTTAGAAATTCTATGGGGCAGCTCTACTCTACCCTATAGGGTCGCTATGAGTTGGAATCGACTCGACGGCAGTGGGTTTTTAATTGTGACAACTTTTTTTTTTGTTTTTAATAAAATAAATTTTTAAGTAAGAAAAGTAATGCTTAAACATTATCCAAAGCTTGTGTGTAGACAACTATTAAGGAGCCCTGGTGGCTCAGAGGTTAAGTGCTCGGCTGTTAACTGAAAAGGTTGATGGTTTGAACTCACCCAGTGGCTCTGTGGGAGAAAGACCTGGTGATCTGCTTCCGTGAAGACTGCAGCCTAGAAAACCCTATGGGGCACTACTCTGTCACGTGGGGTTGCTGTGAGTCAGAATTGACTCGACCGCACCCAGCCAACAACAGTAGGAAAATTAAAGTTCTAGTCTCTCCTTTATCTGATGGTTTATAATACACATGAAACTCGTAATACTCCATCTGGCCTAATTTTATTTACAAAATTCCATTAGAAGAAAAGCAAACTGTTTGGAAACACAAAATGCCAATAACCACGTGTGTTCTTTGCGACTTGGCTAACCTGCCACCATTCCTGAGCTTCCTGCATGACTTCCCGCCCCACTCGGGGGTCAGAGCAGAAGGCAGGCGGTTGCCGGCAGCAGGGTCAAGGGCAGCAGTCACAGTGGAGCTAGGATGTGATGTCCTAGACAAAGGGGCTGGGCTGGTCAGGGCGCCCACGTGCGTGGTAGCATTTCCCAGGGCGAGCTGCTTTGTGAAAAACAATCCAAGCCTCTTGGCTGCTCTCAGTTCCTAAATGCATTTTTTCAGAAGTATGTTGAGTTAAAATAGCTGGGCTTTCGGGCACTGTCCCAGAGCTGCAGCTGCTGCTGGAATGCTGGTTCACTTTAACACTAGTTCAACGGAGCCGGACTCAAAGGCCCT